AAATCATCTGTTGTTTATGATAGGCGTTTGACGAGGATATTCCAATTCTATTTTTTATTGTGTTGCATCTAAATCATATTTTTGCCACGGATTGTGGGCAGATTGAGCTACAGTTTATTTAACTATTTTAACAACCAATCTCCAATCAAACTTGGCAGGCACTTGGATATAAAAAATAGTTTGAGTTGTGAAACATATCATCCGAATTGCTCAAAGAGCTGTCTTTCTCTGCTAAATTAGGGACGGCTAGCGCAAACAGCTCTCGTGTAGCTTTGCGCAAAATTCAAACAAACTGTAGCCACGATTTTCTATATTTAGCTGTTTTTTTTTACCACGTATTCTATCTCTATATTTTCACACATTTAAGTATGTACCTCAATTTCCCTCATCGCAAAATAAGAATTGAATTTTGACTAACAAAAAACAAACTACACGAAAGATTCATTCTATTTTTAGATTCTCCATCACTGAGTTAGACGATTTCGGAATATTTCTCTGTTGAGTTAGACAGTTCGGCCCGGCATGGCCAGGTGGTTAAGGCGCTCGACTCGCAATCTGAGGGTCGCGGGTTCGAATCCCCGTCAAACCAAACATGCTCGCCCTTTCAGCCGTGGGGGCGTTATAATGTGACGGTCAATCCCAATATTCGTTGGGAAAAGAGTAGCCCAAGAGTTGGCGGTGGGTGGTGATGACTAGCTGCCTTCCCTCTAGTCTTACACTGCTACATTAGGGACGGCTAGCACAGATAGCCCTCGTGTACTTTGCGCGAAATTCAATACAAACAAACAAACAGTTAGACAGTTTCGGGATATTCTTCTGTTGATTTAGACTATTTCCGAATATTATTCTGTTGGGTTAAACGGTTTCGGTATATTTTTCTGTTCAGTTAGATCGTTTCGGAATATTTTTCAGTTGAGTTAGACGGTTTCGGGATACTCTTCTGTTGAGTTTGATGGTTTCGGGATATTTTTCTGTTGAGTTTGACGGTTTTGGGATTTATTTATGTTGAATTAGACAATTTCAGGATATTTTTTTGTCGAGTTAGACGGTTTGGGATATTTTTCTGTTGAGTTTCACGGTTTAGGGATATTTTTCTGTTCAGTTAGATCGTTTCGGAATATTTTTCAGTTGAGTTAGACGGTTTCGGGATACTCTTCTGTTGAGTTTGATGGTTTCGGGATATTTTTCTGTTGAGTTTGATGGTTTAGGGATATTTTCTGTTCTGTTAGACAATTTCAGAATATTTTTCTGTTGGGTTAGAAGATTTCAGGATATTTTTCTGTTGAGTTTGATGGTTTAGGGATATTTTC